CATAGTCAAAAGAACGTTGGATAATAAAGCGCATAACCAAAATAGCGTGAGACAAAAAAGCGCTTTATCGTTTATGCTTAGAGATTTAGAAACTAGAAGAATTAAGGTAATTTCGTGAACATGTACTCTGACAACTAGTAATAGTAATAAAAAATAGATCTAGAAATAGTGGCCCTGATCGGTCGATTCATTGTAGTTTGTTTGATAGTTTTTAGATAACTACACTGATTTAGCATTATTACATAGCTGTCAGACTGTCACCAAAAATAGACTACGAAAAGTCTAAATTGCAACAATCTTTTCCACAATGGCCACAGATACCGAGTTGATAGAAACCAAGTTAGCTTCTTGGGGATGTTCAAAAAGCGGACGTAAAGGTGGACTCATCACGGGCGCTGTTTATAAAAGAGAAACTACTCCACATAATCACGCAACCAGTCCTGTAGAAACTGAGGCTTTATTGGTAAAGAATACAATAAGAAAATCGGCTGTGGAAAACGATGGCAAACCTAAGACGATAATATAACGTCACAGACTGAAAACGGAAAAATACACTTTTAGCAGAGTTATAGATTATTATTTAAAGTTTGTTGCTTAAAATTTATTTTTGTAAATATATTAGCAGTATTAGAAATATAATAATTGAGATTTTTTTTATACTCTGTTTAAAATGACTGCGCTGTTGTTGCCGCGCTCATTTGTATAGGCGCTCTTTCGTATTGCGCTGTTTTGTCGAACGCTATTTTGACTGGGCGCTGTTTCGGGCTGTGCTGTTTTGTCCATGCGCTCTTTTGTCCCAGCGCTATTACGTCCTCGCTGTTTTGATACAGGGCCGTCTCGACATCAGGTGTACTGCAGGGTTCCAATCTGGGACCACTGTTTTTCATAGTTTTTATTAACGATTTGCTCAGCTCTCTTACATGTCCTGTACTTGCATATGCAGACGATTAAAAAATTTATTCCTCTGTATTCAATGATATGGATGTAAATCTTCTACAGGATAACCTAAATATTATTGCTCAATATTCAGTGTCTAATTTCTTAACTTTGAATGTGGATAAGTGCTATTTTCTTACGTTTACTCGCAAAATAAAGTCAGTTTCTTCATCATATAATATTAATGGTTATGTACTTCTCAAAGCAGATTCAGCAAAAGATCTCGGAGTACTTTTTGACTCAAATCTTACTTTTATTAACCATATTGAATCCACAGTATCATCGGCATCAAAATCCCTTGGATTTATAATGCGTACATCGAAATTCTTTAACGATTTCTCTCTCCTTAAGACGTTGTATTTTTCGTTTGTTCTAAGCAAGTTAGAATATGCATGTGTGGTCTGGGCCCCATATTACGTGTGTCATCAGTTAACCATCGAAAAAATTCAACGAAGATTCCTAAAATATTTATCTTTCAAGATCGATGGAGTACACCCACCTAGACATGTTGATTATGACAATTTACTGCGACGGCATAATTTTCAGTCGCTTGTTAGTCGTCGAAAAGAATATGGTGCTCATTTTATTTGGAAGCTTATTCACAATCGCTTAGACTGTAGCAACATATTATCGCTTATAAAATTTCATGTGCCACGCTTGAACTCTCGATATGCATCAACTTTTGATTTTTCTACACCAAAAACAAATATACTTAGGAGAGTACCGCTGACAACTATGTGCCATGATGCTGATGTATTTTATTATGATATTTTTAATGATAAAATGTAATATCTTCTCAATTAGTTTCTTTAATTGATTAGTACTTATTATTTTATTAGGTTTTTATATTAGGGTTTTACATTTGGTTATTGTATTTATCATAATAGGTATCTTAAGTTAATTATAGATTTGTGCGTAACATTTAATTTAGATTTTGTTCTGTAATAGGGTAACAACCTGTTGGGCAATAAAGGCTATTATTAATATTATTATTATTATTATTAATATCTAGATATGTCACGTAAAAAACATTTTTGCACTCATGACCTTTTTTGATGACTTTCGTGCATTCATCAGGGTGCGGGAGCTCGAACTTCCGGCACACGTGCATTTTTACTTTTCGTTACCATGGTAACCTTAAAATAGTCGGGAAGTGTCAACATTGTGACCTGTTTACGGTGCTGTCAACGCCGTTGTTTATAAATTACTCACAGTTAATCTCTTTAGTTTAAAGGTTTATTCTGTGGTGACCGAATTTAAATCAAAGTTTTCGCGCTGAAATTAATTAACAGCGGCGCGAAATCACATTTGAATAATTTGAATTTGAAAAAAAAAAATCAATCACGAAAATCGTTAAACATAGGCAGCAACCAAATAGACGTGTCTGGATTAATGCATGATCATTGAGTTAGATGGCAGCACGTAGCGCTAGGGTGATTTCAGTTAGAGGGTTGGTAGAGAGGCTGCATGGCGTAGAGTCATTGTGAATGTGCTTGTGTGAGTGTAACCACGTGGTAAGCGCTAGGTTTAAATTAGTTGATTTGGTAGTTAACAAAACGGGAGGAAGCCGTTGTTTAACGACAATCAAACGTATTTTTTATAATGATACAGTTGTCCCCAACCCGCGCGGTTAATTCTTGCGGCCTTTTAATCGGAGAAATGCGGACTTCCGGTCAGCAGAAACCACGTGCTGTAAATTTGTTCCATTGTCTGTAAATTCACCAATCAAGTTAGTTTTTCTTAATAGTCAGCTAGTGCAAACACAGTTTAACAATCAGGATTATTTAAATAAACCATTTGCTAGAAGATTTCATAAGATTCACTTAGTCAGGAAAAACACCTTATGTTTAATTACGAATAGGTCTCTGGATGCATATACGTAAGTGTTACATTATAACACTTCTAAATTCTTCACACAAGATTGCTAATAGTTCATTTACGACAGTTAAACAAGTTCATTATACTGCGAACTGGCTGGAGGGGTTTAAAATGTTTTCTTCCTTTAGGCGCTTATCATCGTTATCATGATTAATTCATCAGGGCATGGCATCACAACGCTACAGATTGATTAGTTCATCAAGGCATGTCATCACAACGCCACACATTGATTAATTCATCAAGGCATGCCATCACAACGCTACAGATTGATTAATTTATAAAGGCATGCCCTCCCAACGCTACAGATTGATTACATCACCGAGACGCTTTTTCCTCGCAACGATTTTAAAATTTACATCACCGACACGCTTTTTCCTCGCAACGATTTTAAATTTTACATCACCGAGACGCTTTTTCCCTCGGAGCGATGATTGGATATTTCTGTGTTTGTTTATTATGTGTTTCGTTGGGGTAACCCGTTCGCGGTATTTTAAACTTTCAAAGTAAATTATTCTTGAAATAACCCATCATTTAGATCATGATATAATTTGGCATAATGTAAACTCTTTGTTTGAACCGTTGATAAAGTGTGGCAAAAATTAATCTCATGTAAATTTTGTTAACTCTACAATTTTCCACCTCAAACAATATTTTTAATCTCACAATTTTAACCTCAGTAATTTTGTTTGTTGTATAATTTTAATTGAACGTAAATTTCATGTTCTACAGTTTTAACCTCACATAATATTTCTATTTGTACAAGTTTATTTCACACCAGATCTTTTGTTTCATAAATCCTTGCTAAGTTTTGTTTTGTAAATACTTTGTTGATGAATGTTTCTATCATTTAAATTATTTGATGTTCAATTTTAATCTCACATAAGAATTATTTGTTGTTTAAAATTTCACAAGGTTGTGTGGCGAATCTGAATGTTGTTTATTGCTCTTTGAAACTTTAACACTTCTTCAGTTGTTATTAATATCAGAGTTATAAGAGATTGAATATTTAAAAATGGAATTGAGGTTAAATGACACAGAAAACGTGGCAGAAGCGAAGTTCGGTTCCTAGTCGAGCTGGCGAGATTGATCGTGCCACCTGTACAAGTCCACAGGTTTGGTTAGATTCAGGGGCGGCCGCCGATGTTGTAAATTTCTCGACTTGGCCCAATAGTCGAGATCTCTTGCGGGTTGGACGACCGTAATGGCCTAGTTCCGCAGGGCACGTTCGTAATGGAGATATGCGTGTGGGGTAGGCTGTGCGATAGATAGAATCACCGTCCTGGGGGGAGAACAGCTCCAGACCGGTAGCTCAGACTCCGCTCATGCTACAACGCCCCCCGGGGTACTTTTGTTGTGCTCCTGTTAACTGCCGTAACTTAAAAAAAAAGATCTGCCGCCACACGCCCGTAATAACTTGTGTATTTGCATCCAGTTACTTGATTCAGTTTTTGCTTTGTTTTATTAAATTTGTGATATTCAAATATTTGCATTGATTCCAAACAGAGGTATAGAATTTTCCGTTTGTTCGTTTTTCATATGTGTATGTCTATCAATTGGCGAGTGTTTTCTTTCATATATCTTGAAGTGTTTGAAATGTAATATGTCCGGGAATAAAACAAAAAGGGTTTTGCGCTGAGGAGTAAATCTCCGCAGCGTCTTTCCTCCGGTGAGGGGGTGCCGTACTCCCCCCTCCAAAACAATTTTGTCACAGCCAAGGCCAAACTTTTGAATTTTTAAATTTTTCGCGGGCCTTTCAAACAGTTTCAAAGTCAATTTTAGAGGCGGCAAGTTTGGGTTATCACAATTCGTTGCAAAAAATATTGTACACAACACGTTCGTGATGCCTGCTTCCCGCATTCACGCAAATGCAGCACTCCCTTAAACAAGCGTTCATGCGGGAAGCAGGCTATCCCGAACTAGTTGTGTAAATTACTATTAACGAATACTTATTCAAGCAAGAAATCATTTCTATGAAAGTTCGAACTTCATCTTCGTTCTTGTATATACCTAATTCATTACATTTGTCTGTTGGTTATGTGAAGTTATGTGCTTAATTTCGTACATTAAAAATTAGCAAAAATTCGCTTTAAGTTATTTTTTGTACAGTCAGCCACAAAAAAATTTGTACGACATGTCGAAATTACTTCCATGAATAAAACTAATGTAACTACGGTGTCATTGTTTACCATCTTTCGTCAATGTGGTGAATGATAACTCATTTGTTGAAAACCCAGCGGTGTTATGTGCTTCAACTTTTACAAAATACTTTGTCCCTGGACTCAATCCAATAATCGATGTACGTTTTTGAGGCTTCAGATTATTTGATACTAAAATTTATGGTAAGATTCAATAATGTAATAAAAAAAAAACAAAGAATACTTCACCTAAAATCCAATGTGGACTTAAAGCCTTTCGATACTGTAGAACAAAATATAAAACAGTGCATCCATTGTCAGGCCAGATATGCAAACGCAGTAGTACTGATGTTGAATTTGGAACCAAAAATGACGAAGCATTAGGTATTCCTGGAGAATGTCCTTGAGTCCTTGCTTGAAGTGGATGACTTGCCGGACTACTTCCAATCATATTATGAGCCGTTAAATATAACTGGTATGTTGTTCCGCAGGACAGTGACTTGAAACAATATTTACTAATAGATACATTACAGAATAAGAAAAATGGTATAGCAAATAACATAAAAGGCCGTCTGACACGATACTAAATTTTGTAACAAATTTAGGACTAAAAATTGAATACAAGTTTTAGTCTCGTGTCATACACAACTTGCATTTTAAATTGTATAAAAATTATTTGGGACCAAAATATTTAAGACACGTTCTAAATAAATCTGAATTTCCATCCTAAACATGCGCAGTGTCCTTTGTGTAGGCAACATAACCTCACAAATGCACACAGCAACAGAATCAGTTTCACGTGTCTAAACCAGCATGTCGTGGTCAAGGCAGCAGTGTGAAACATTAATAGAAGAATATCAAAAGTATGCATGTTTATATGCCGTGAAATCACCCCAATATAAGAATAAACACGCACGACAATCGGCCCTGGAAAAAATTCAAGAACAATTAGAACCGTTGCGGGCTAATGTGACGCTGACTGAGATAAAGGCGAAAATCAGTGGAATGCGGACCAATTTTTTAAGCGAATTTAGAAAATGGAATGCCAGCAAGCATAGTGGGGCTGGCGAGGATTCAGTAAGTATTTTTATTTTAAGGTTAAATGTTGGTTCAATAAAAATTTTGTTGCAGACATATGTGCCTACCATCTGGTATTTTAAGAAGTTTTTTTTTATCTTGGAGCATGTAAATGTCCGAAACAGTTCTGACTCATTGACCTGGTCAGAGTGCTCAGACAAAGAAAACAACTCAATGTCACAAACTAACATGATGGAAAGTGAGACTGGTGAATACAGTATTGAACAAGATGTGCACGCTGAGGATTATGTTGTGTCGCCTACGGGCGTTGTGGAGGTTGACAATGATGGTTCACTAGCACCAGGAGTTTCTAGCGACTCCACTACACCACAGGCAAAAAAGTTAAAAGTGCGTCACAGAGCCACGCCAGATTGCAATATTATGAAGGAAGCTTCCAAGGCTTTAACGGCAATCTCCAACAGTATCAACAAAAAGGCTGCAGTTGCTGTTACAGCGCAAACCGTTGCCAATGAGACGTTAGCACAGTTCATTGTAACGAAACTGGAACAAATTACTGACTATGATATTCGCTTGGAGGCAGAAGAGGCAATTACATCGAAACTTTATGAATGTATTAAAAAATGTAGAAATATTGACCTAAACAAACAATAAACATTCACTTTACATATTAAATTTATTTATTGCATCATGTTGCCACTCTACACTTCCATTTGGAGAATTAAAAAATGTTTTAAATACATCTCGAATGTGTCTTGCTTCATCACTATTTCTATTTCCACTCTGCCTTCCTATGTCAATTCACCTTCAACTTCTGTATAAGCTTGAGTTTTCCGTTGCCAAAAAATTATGTAGAAGAACACATGTTTCTGTAATAAGTTGCACTTTTCTACATTCAAATTAATTGGTGTTAGGAGTACACGGAAACCGTTCACTAATATTCCAAAACTGTTTTCAATAATTCTCCTAGCTCTGGATAAACGGTAGTTAAAAATTCTGCGGTCATGATCAAGGCCTCGTTCTGGATAAGGCTTCATTAAATTTTGTGACAAAGGAAAAGCATCATCTGCTACTATCACATATGGGAGAGTTTCATTCATACCAGGTAGTAACTCTGGCTCTGGTAAGTTAATAGTATTATTGTGAAGAGCTTCTGATAATTTACTGTTGTGAAAAACACCACCATCACTTATTCTGCCATTTACCCCAATGTTAACATAACTGAAACGATAATGGGCATCCACTAAACCTAACAGAACAATACTGTTGCTGCCTTTGTAATTGTAGTAGTAAGAACCATGTGAAATTGGTGCTCTAAATGTTATGTGTCGCCCATCAAGAGCACCTACACATAGAGGAAACTGCCACATAGCATTAAATTCAACTGCAATTTTCTTCCACTCCTCTTCAGTCCTTGGTGTTTTCAAATATATTGGTTTTAATGTATGAACTAGAGCTTTGCACACTACTGATACTATTCGAGAAATTGTGGTTTCATGAATCCTTGTGGCATACATCAATGATTTTTTCTTCAGTGGTTTCTCCAGTGGCTAGGTACCTCAGAGTCACCTCTAACCTGGAAATAATTGATTGACTTAATTGAACATATAACTAAATTTTATGTGCTTACCTGTTTCTTGCTGAAACAGCATCTCTCATGATAGTATCTTTCTTATGGATCATGCTTTTTATTAATTCCACAATCTTCTCAAATTGCTGGTTCGTCATTCTCAGGAAATTTCTAAATGCATTTGGATCTTCTGTTCGTAATTCATTATCAAGCATAGCCAACACGTCTTTTCCCTGTCCTCTTCTTTTCAGCCAATCTCTGCACCAAACTCTCTTTTTCGCCGTTTTTTTTTTTTTTTGGCTTTTTGTTTAAGATGTGTTGCAATTAGCATCACAACTGCTGCTGTTGCAGCATTCGTTAGGTTATTCTGAAGCGCCGACATTCTTAGTAGTACTGCTTTGTTTGTTTGTTTTGAGGTTATGACACAAAATTGACTTATGCACGTATTACAAAATGACAGTTCACGTAAGATTTTACTGTAGTGCGCATGTTTAGAATCAAAATTATCTACTAAATTTTGAAGTAGTGTCAGACAGAATAACTAAATTTAGTTCTTAAATTTTCTGCATATTTTTTTTCTAAGTTTCGTGTGAAATTTGGTACTAAATTTAGTATCGTGTCAGACGGCCTTATAAAAGGCTAATAATTATGTCAATTAATTTTAACCAAGTCTCCCACAATCAAGTTCAGTCTGGAAACATACTATGCATATAAAATATTGAAAGGTCAGTTTGTTTTGTTTTGTAATTACTAACCGCTCTGATCTTAGCCATAAGGCTGAAAAGCAATCTGTTCCACTATACTGACAAAAGTGTGTGATAAAGTTGTGCATAACAAACCAGCTGTTCCTGATGGTGAGAAAACAGGTGTTTTTCAATTTGAAACCGACTGACTAGGGTTTTAGTTTTCGTTGGGATCATACTCATATCACAGACTACACAGACAAGACACATACCCACTTTGAACGAACGTGACCCTTATTGACGACTTACCTCAACCTTCATACGCGCGATTTTTAAACGCGAGGACTGCACAATCTCTGATAAAAGCCAACATAATGTTAAAAAAATACGTCAACAGAAGTCACAATAATTGTGTTTAACTTACTAAAATAATAAAGGCGTTCGTACGTACGTTCATAGTTAAAAAAAATTTATGAACAAGCTAAAAAATTTATGAGTGCTATTAATTAAATTTATATATTTTTTGGCCTCGACAACTGTAAAACTGACATTTACGTATCGTAGATAGCCATGGTATTTTGATTTTTACACACTGAACTGTCATTTACCAAATTAAGTGCGGTAATAAACACCGAAATTTTCAGAGTTATAAAACCTTTAAAAAAATTGACACCTTATCATTAACAAAGCTTGTGTTCACCAAAATAAGATACCGCATAAATGCATCTATTAAATGTTTTAAAATAATAGCAATTGATTTTTTTATTGAGTTTGGAGAGCGCCATCTGGTGGCATACGCAGCAGTCATATAGAACTATCTGTCACGATTTTAATTTTATCTGACGTTTGACGCAGGGAAAGCCTCCTTACAAATTCCACACAATTTAAAAAAATGTAAAAATTGACGAAAACAAGCACCACTAAGTCATCGGCCAAAAAGTTGCATACATTATTCATGCGGTAGGCATTTTCCAACGCTCAGATTTATTAAAACACTCGGCTTTGCCTCGTGTTTCAATATTAAATCTTCGCGTTGTAAAATGTAACCTACCGCATTTATAATGTAAATAACTATTTTAAATGTGAGTGAAGGATTATATTGTGCTGTATTGTGTATTCTGTCGCCACAAGACTCTCAGGAGTGCATTGCACTTCACACGTCTTAGTCGAACCCATTTTGAGGTTATATGTCGTTATCTTGTCAACCCAAAGCAAGGAGGTTTAAATGTATATATGTACTTATATTCAATAACTTTGACCCGAAGTGTCAAAATTCTAGTTTTTTTAGTTACAGTCTCCTAAAAGTTTTCACTAAACAGGGTAGCCACTACAGTATTTTGCAAATTTTTAAACGGAATCAAGGTCATTCCTACCTCAACCGTCATTTTCCTGTGTTCAAGGGGATTCTTGAATTAAAGATTATATTCGTTTGTTAATAGTGGGCACTGTCTTGTCTGTGTAGTCTGTGCTCATATTCTCTCGAGGTAGTAATCGTTTTTACCTACATCGTCGATTCAGAACTTGTCTGATCTACAGACCAGAAATATAGACATAATAATTAATCATTTTCTAATGACATTTACTGATAAATTCGGTAAGTTATAAATATATGCATAAAATAAAACCTTCAGTGAAATAGTTCATTGATTTAGAAAAAAATCTATTACTTGCAACTTGCAACACAATACAATTTTATGTATCTCATGAGATACATTGCCAAGTTATGGGTTAACATATACATGCATATAATAATATTCTAGGATGGAATAAATATCTATTCTATATAAAATAAAGCAAACATTAAATTATTAAACACCATGGTTTGCAAAAAAAAAACTTAAAAACTAAATAAAAAGAAAAAAAATCATAATTATAACATCCTCCAAATAATGGCAACTTCTAATTTCACGACAAAAATTATTCCCAACTAATTGTAAATAATACAAAATACATGTAATAAATAAACAGTACAAGCAACAGTAATGTTTTAAATACTAAATATTTTTGAGAATGTTCAACCCTTTATAAAGCAATATCGAAAATAACTTCATAAAATACATTATCAATATCAGGTATAACGTGCAGTAAATAAATTCGGTGATCCCACCCCAAAAATTATTATTAATATTATTATTAATAATAATATTAATAATATTGATCACATTGATCAACAGGCAAAGCCCACTTACAGATCAACGGATCAAAGAAAATATGACTTATAAATATAGTTATAAATACAGGCTGACTGCGAAATACATGCAAAAAAAAAATGGGGCATAGGTCACAATATGATTATGTCAATGGCAAAAATTCGCGGTCCTAAGTGGTAGCAGTGTCTAGAAAAAATTATTTGAAATTAAATGTAAATTGTTGTACGCGCCGCTGGACTGTTTTGTGACCTACATAATTACTGCAATGAATGGCACGCGGCTCTGTTTAAGAACCAGGCACTTTTTTAATCGCAACGTGAAAAACACGAAAAGGGCCAGTGATTATCGAGCGGTCGTTGAAATCGGTGTATGGTAGAGTTTTCCAATGCAGAGCGTGTCGATATTTTTTTTTAACGATTTTGCATTGTTTATTGGAACAGAAATAAGAGCAACTTAGAATGCTACTACCTTTTTACAAGAAATGTTGAAAATGTTGTCCTTGACTAGCAATTCAAGCGTCAGAGCGTCGCAAGAGGTTTGTTGATAGGTAAAAAAACACCGGAGTAGCGGCTGCCACTCTCACTTGTTGAAGCTCTTCGATTATTTCTGGACACTGTTGATTTCCACAAACGAATTGTTTCATCCAACCAATACACGTTTCTCGAAAACCGTCTCTTGAAATCGTACTTGTTGACGACTATGTGAAGTTTCATTGGACAAAAAGTGAGTTACACAACGTGGACAATCAGTGGACTCCAAACCGTGCACTTTGTCAACATGGTATAGTTGTGACCGTGTACTTTTAATGTAGGATGCACTACAAGCTGCGAAAATCCAATTTCTTCTTTCTGTTCCATCACGACCACGATCGTGAGTTTGAGGTTGAAGGTACCATGATCTCGGAGATGCTGTACCACTGACGTAAATGTTCGCGCACATGGAATCGCGCGATTTGGAAAGCGTTCGATTCACAATTCGCGGGCCAAGCTTGAGTTCCCATCCGCCACCCCATACAGCATTAAATTCTTACTGGGCTGTGTGCTGATGCCGCCTTTTCTATAATTAAATTCAACTGGTGAGCATAGCAGTGAATAAACTGAGCTTTAGAGTAATCTTCCTTGATTTTTGCTTGTACTCCATTTTGTCTTCCAGTCATAGCCGAAGCACCATTATAAGAATGAGATATAAGTTTTTTTGGATTTTGATTGATTTCAAGTTTTTCGAGCTCATTTAAAATAATACTAGAAATAC